AAGAACCACCCCGACAGCAGACCTTGAGGTTGCATTGGGGCTCCCACCACTTCACCTAGGCAATGACCTTTAAAGCCAAGCTACAATTGACCAGCAATCGAAAGTTTCTCACTGGACATTGCGGAGTTAAGAAGCATCTATTGAATTTAGATATTACATGAGACCAAAGCGCCTGAAAAGGGTCGACCTCATACTCTATTGGCCCAAGACTGCGGTCCTTCATCGGGTTTCTTTAAACTTAAATTTAATGAATGACTGGAAAGAGCAGCTCAGAGTCATTAGTATTCGACTTATCCCAAAGTTTCTCACTGGACATTGCGGAGTTAAGAAGCGTCTATTGAATTTAGATATTACAAGAGACAAGAGCTGCAGACTTTGTCACGAAGAAAATATAACACCAGAACACATTCTGTGTCACTCTGATAGTCTCGCTAGACTCAGATTTCGATACTTATCAACTACCTATGGAAATAAAGTGGCTTTGTCTTATTAGTGTTCAAGAGTGCAGTGATGTGAAGACATAGTTTCCAGCCCCTTTTAAATCTAATCTAATTATCACTTCCGTAGAAATATCATGCCTGGAATCGGAACACTCTTGACATATTCCCAGTTAACCTCCTCTTGAAAACACTATCTGAGGCCATGTAACAAAAGCTGCTTCAGTTTTGCGGTAATCCTTTTACGGTAATATATGGGTATATTTCTCATCAAAATAGAAGACAACTATCTTGATGAGAAATATACCCATACATTACCGCAAAAGCAAAAAAGCAATGAAAAGTTTGGTTCACTATTAACGATCGCGATAGAGATAATATTTCATCATTCTAGTGGAAAAATTTCTATATCATACAAAAACATTTAAATTCCGATTAGCGAAAATATAATTGTATAATTGTTATGTATTGCTACATGTAATATCTGTAAGAACGTTTTAACAAGTATTTTAAGATTTGGTGTCCCATATCTAATTAAATTTTCCCAATTTATTTATAACTTTTAAATATAATTCATATCTTAAGTACAACTATTAATTTACATCGTTATTCAAATGTTTAATCGACAATCAATAATTTATTACAATTTAGTAGACAAATTATGATTCATTGAATTCTAATTTATGCGACGAATATTATTTGAATCGGCAACTGCGTACAAGTTTTAAATAAATTCGAAAGTAACTTCCTTCCACGTTAGATATTAAAATTGCTATTAATATTAAATTTCACTCACAATAAAAACAAATTATGTTCATTGAATGAACAAAGCCAACGAAATAATTGTATGAGGCAACCTTAAGCCAAGTAATAATATTTGCATATGAATACGTCTCGGTCCTTAACTACGTACATACATACTTCAATACTCGTTCATTCTAATAGAAGAATGAGTTTTCATAACTTCTGGTTAGTGGTTCAAGTAGGCAATATTATTTATCTACGCGCAGTTCAACCACTGTTCGCATCTATGTAACAAATTAAGTTTCAAGTATGTAGAATCAAACAAAAACAAAATCACATTTATTAAATGAAAAACAATAAATATTTGTAGCAACTGGTACAGTTGTGTGCGTCGCATCGAAGTTTGTGAGCAATGATTTCAAATAGATGGAAAGACATACATACCTCTTTCGACTTTGCAGAACGGAATGACCATTCATGTTTGCAAATTAACTGGGGAATAGCCTTATTCGATTGGCAAGCTGACAAAATGATATGCTCATTCGAAACGGTGCACTCAGTGGTTGCTTTTATTTTTATATGTAAAGTACAGTGATAACTTACAAAAGCAAGTGATATTCAAATTTTTTCACTTCCTGATTTTTCAAATTATTACAAACATTTGAATAAAAAAAATTTTATATGCAAAAATAAAAGTAATCTTCTTTATTTCATTTGAAATATTACAAGCTATGAGGTTGAATAGTTTTATTATTAAATTTTTTTTTTGTTTAACTATAAACACAAAATATGACCGTTGGATTCCATAATTCTGAGGGCTATTAACTTTTCTCTTAATTAACTGAACTTTAAGAAAAAAATAGGGAGTAAGTAGGATATTTGAACGGTTAACAATGTATACTTATGTCTTATGTTGGATGGCAGCTTTTTATCAATCTATAGTTTTATCAAGTCTATATATCGTTTTTATATGTATTTTTAATTTTTTACTCGCTTTAAAAGTGTTTTATTAATGATATTTTGTAATGCTGTCATTTACAATTCCTTCCTTTGTGATAGAATATTTCAAACAAAATATTGGAATACACTTTTATAGAATATTCCTACAACAACAAAACGATTTAAAAAAAAATGTTTAATACTTTATTATCGATAAGGTAAAAACCTTAATCATGTAAAAACTAAAATAATAATTTATAAATGAAATTAAGTTTACATTAAAACTCGTTTAAAAAAATATATTATACTTGTCTATAACGGAATATAGGGACAAATTTCTGGTTTCTGAAGATACGATCTTCAAACTATTGGAAATGAAAAGACAAACACATACATAAGTAGACTTATTAATCAAAATTACGCAAAAACAAGACATAGGACATAAAACATAATATCTAAATTAAAATGTTTATCGAATGAAAATATTTTATTTGCATTTAATAAACTGCAGAACTACATTTGTATACAAAAACAACAAACTGCAGAACTACATTTGTATACAAAAACACAGGTTACCTTTGAATTTTCCAATGCTAGAAAGATCAAGAAAGATTAACTGAAAGTCTGAAAGTCCAGAAAAATTCTATTGATAGTCGTCAATTAATAAGTAAGTTCCATTCTCTATGCTGACGTGATAGATGGACTGACTGGTATTTACTTAAAAATATGGTAATCATAATTTTCACAGCACTACGCCATAGCCTAACAAATATCCATATGGTGCATACGCTTTTTAATTTAAATTTTAATTGCGCCGTACACCTAATTAAAATGCATAAATTTAAATCCTTTTTCATTTATTTCCATATTTTCATTTCTAAAAAAATATTATTCACAAATATTAATGTTATTATAAAAATGAAATAGTTTTCCAAATACCATACACTCAAAAAAAGGATGAATGCTTAACTGTTGCAGTGCAATTATGAGTTAAAAAAGGTATTCCACACGAAAAAAGCACCCTTAAAGCATTGTTCACGGCAATAAAATTAATAAAAGCATGTTTCAATGCACACAGAAGTTTCGAGAGAAAAACGAAACCTAATGTTAAATCATGGCAATTAATATTAAATGGATTATTATATAATAGCCCGTTTTCTCCATAAAACTAACCCAAAAATACAGAGCAATTATTGCCGCTTAACATTTTATTCGACAATTGGAACGATGCGATACCGTTGGGCGATACTGAGCAATTCCTTCATCATTTGTAATCTGTTATTGCACAATCGCACGCATCTTTCAGTCTGATTTGATGACGCCATTTATGTATATGGGCAAATTAATTATAGAATTATGGGTAATTCAAATACGCTTAATTGACGGTAGTTCTACGTGTTTCCTTGCTATATTAACAAGATTTAACTTATATTACGCCTCAATTAATTCGATTCTTAAGTGTACACTTTTGAAATTAGTTCAATTATATAGCCTTGTTAAAGTATTCCTTCCTCCCTTTACTAATAACTGTATCCATATTACTAACTTTTAAAATTGTATAATTATATTATTTAAATAGAAAATTGTTATGTATATCGAATACTTCAGTATAACAAACTTAAATAAACCAAAAATATTTGAAAACCTAAGTAAACCAAAAAACAAACTGTATTCTATAGAATAGTAATATGCAAATCTATATTAACAAGTTTAATATCGAGGTGTTATTGTTGAAATAGTTCGGCTAAAAATAGTATTATAAGATGAATGCTAGAAATGTATTACTTTATCCAAATGTAAAGCTAACCTAGTCATAGATAAAGGCCATCTGACCTTACCTGCATCGAATGGGATGAATAGTCGATATTCTAATTTACATCAAAGTTGTGAAAAATATCATTATCAGTACATAATTATACGAAGTTACAGGTTCACATCTGACACTAATTGCAAAAACTATAGTGTTTCTAGTAATGAGCTAACGACTGATCATAGAAACCCAACACAGCATTATCAACGCAGACACTGTTTTTAAAAGAATAAATCGATTCATGTTCATATATTGTATTGTCTTCAAGCTAATGTTAGGTAAGAATTCATGTACTGTAAATGCATAGTTACAATGGTATATACATTTATAGTAGCAGAGCAGAAAAAGTATTACTAGTGAAGAATGACTTTTATTTGTTTGCATTGATGTTCTACTCTGTAAGTGACCTTAATGAGAGGTTCTATAGCAACAATTTTAATTAGGGTCGCCTAATACCTTCAAGGCTGACTCCCTAAAAATTCCAGTTTTTTGGAGTACACATTGAGTAATAAAAAATCATGGTAATTAAAATGTGAACAGCTTACTCCATCTTGCTTTGGTACTACATCGTTAGCTCAAACTGAAAAAATCTTATCTAGAGTTTATGGTATATTGAGTGTTGTTGATGTAATTACAAACATTCGTTCACCTTAGTAAATATCCATACATATTCCATGTATTTGTACATTACAACATTTAGCTTAAAATCATTTTCAAATAACTTGCGATTTTTACAACAAATACATGGACAAAACTGATTCTGAAATTTGATTATTTCTGATACTACGACGATTCCTTGCATTTATCACTAATTTCTTGACAAATCTTTTCTTTTTTCTATGCAACGCAGGTTATACGCAGGTTATAAAGAAAACAATAATTACACCAAAAACATTTTTTAGATAATGTTTAGTTGAGACACTGGAAAGTCATATTTGAAAATTCGTATATTTTTTGTTAGTTTTTGTTTCCACTTTGTATTTGTTTTCAAAAAACGTTTCTATAATATGAAATCATATGATGTCAATTGCTATGAAACATTTAAAAATAAACATTTTAACATATTAATTCTGCTCAAAAGAAGTTTATTAATAATCACCAAATTGTATTTACATAAAATTTATAAAATATTAAAAATTTGAAATACAGTAACTCAATTTTTAAAAATGAATTTACTGCTTTTGCAAATACTCATCAAACATATAAAAGCCCAGCTCTTGCTGTTCGTCGCGCACTATTTTCAATAAATCATTAAAATAACCAGATAATTTACGCACAGTTTCTGCTTGAGAACCCAAGAACTTTTCCTCAAAGTAATGAGCAAATTCCGGATCACGGTGTTTATAATGTTTAGTATGACGCCCATTTTTTTCGGTATTATCGATGTCGTGAATTGCGTGATTAGTAACATTTGCAGCCTTCTCAAACAGTTCTTTTTCTATGTCCAATGCAATACCTAAAGAATGCAGTTCATCTTTGTCAAGACTATAAAATTTCACATCTTTTTTATACTCCTTAGAATTACTAATTATCTCCAGCATATTGATAGAAACACCACGTTTATTAATATGTTTTATTAAATCAATTGCCTCGTCAAAATGCTTATCTGATAGTTCTTTGTATAACTTTTGGAATCCAGAACGATTTTTTTGATATGCACCGAAACGTGTAGCCAAATATAGGTACTCA